ACCGCACAGTGCTTCTCTCGTGGGGAGGACATGGCTCTGCTGTCTAACGTCACGGTAGCTGTGCTGCTCCTCGTCTTTGCTCTGTCAACATGTTGGTACATCAACCACGTGTGTGTCCATCAGACCAGACTGGTTAGATCAGACTACGCAAAGCAAAATAAAACAAAAGCACACGAACGACTCGGTGATAATCCAACAACACTGCAGAATAATACAGTGGAAACAAGGGGAGTCCTCCCACAAAGTTTTAAAGAGGCTGATACTTCCAGAGAGGATGAATGCACCATGGCCCCAGAGGACCGGTTTGATTGTGCCAGGGACCGGCTTCTGAGCCAGAGAGAGTGTGAGGAGAGGGGGTGCTGCTATGCCCCTCTGCCTGAGTCTGCAGGACCACCTTGGTGCTTCTACTCCAGTTTGTACCCTGGCTACCAAATGGGTCCCCTCACTCCCACCATGCGAGGCAAGGAGGCCAGCCTGACCCGAGCCTCCCCCTCGCATCTCCCCAGAGATATCTCCGCTTTACACCTAGAAGTCACGGAAGAGACTGCAGGCTGCTTACACCTCATTGTGAGTACCACTGTGTGCACGAGGCCCCACTACAATTCCCTGTTGATTTGCATGTTAAGTATGGATGACTATATGTAATATGTAATATGCATGTATCGAAAGAGTAAAATATGTCTTTCTTTTGGCCATTGAGGTTGTTAAAAACATTCAGGAAGAAAAAACAGGTTGTGTGAGCTGTGTGATTATGGGAGGAAGTGGAAAGTGAGTCCCATGTTCTTTCATCTAAATGAGGATTTATGAGAGTTAATTTGTCATGAAACAAAAACCCTGAAATATGGGGTGTAGATAATCAAAAAATGCAATGGCTGTTATGTTTATGTTGATTCACTTTGTCTCAAAAGAAGGCAAGATGGACTATTTAATAGTCTGGAGTTGATTTTTCTCAATAGTTTTGTTTGAATAATATACTGTATACAGCACTCTGAATCTGGCTTGTAAGAATTTGTGGTGTGTTGTAAGCCAATGTGGGCTGGACATTGTGTGAATAACTCAATAATAAAAACTTCCTTTATTCATTCATATGTATGAAGTCAAGAGATTAGACATTCTGTTATTCTATAGACAGTTCATTACTGTGTGCTGGTAAAACACTTATTTTCTCTCAAGTTAAAGGACCCATCATCTCAGAGATATGAAGTCAAACTTCCAGCTGGTGTTCATCAAAGCAGAGCTGATACTCAAGATGTCCTCTATTCCACTGAATACCAGTCTGATCCGTTTGGCTTCGTAGTGCGTCGCAAATCCAATGGAAGGGTGATGTGAGTAGCTCTGTTCAATTGTTTTATAATTACATTATATGAATGGCATAATAGCAACTGTATAGTCATACTTATGTCTGTCCTCATCAACAAGTGGGATAGTGCCTTCTGTTATAATCCCATTGTCTACTTGCAGTGTGTTCACTCCTTCATACAGTTCATGTATTCATGTGTTTTCTTTTTAATGTTTACATTCATAATATATATTTATATGCCTTTAATTTTTACATTATATATATATATATATATATATATAGTACCCTGCACTTTGATACATTTTTTACTACTTTTACTTAATCTTTTTAGTACATTTGTGTATTTTATTTTGCTATTTATCTATAAACAGTATATTTTTTAAATATTTATAAACACTCAGTGGCAACACGTGCTAAATCTAATCCAACAGCTCTTCCTGTACGAAGATAATAATGTTCAGTTTTTAATGACACTCTCAGAAAGGTATTAATTGAACTATATGGTCATTAATGAGTTTGTAGTGGTGCTATACTGGAGTGAATTCTACTAAAATCTTTTTGCATTTGATTGTACACAGGAGATGAGACCCATTAAAGTGACATGATGGGAGTGTATTTATTTCCCTATTGAGGCTTTTTGTGCCCAAGATGCTCAAGCTCCGAGCTTATCTCACGAGCCATAGATAACACGATGATATTCTTTATCATTCTCATCATGTAGTTCGTGTTTGTTTGTTCTCTGCGTCCTGCCCGTCCAGCATGAATACCACAGTCGCTCCTCTGCTGTTTGCTGACCAGTACCTGCAGCTGTCCACCGCACTAGCATCCTCCCTTGTGTCTGGGCTCGGGGAGCATTACACCTCCCTCCTCCTGGACCTTAACTGGACTTCTCTGACTCTCTGGAACAGAGACATGGCGCCTCATGTGAGTCTTTTGCAGTGGCTCCCAACATCAGGGTCGGGAGCCCAAAAGGGGTCACAAGAAAACTCTGAAGGGTCGAGAGATAATTAACAAGACCTCTAATCTAGTCTAACCTCTTCCAGTCTCCAAACCCTAAAGCTACACTTTTGAACAATGATAAGGGGTGGCAAGTAGTCATTCTAAAGAACATGTCAGTGATTATTATTATGTAAAATATAATAATCCTCTCCCTTTAATTCATAGCACATTAAAACCTCCCCAAATATTAAGACTTGAAACCTTTAAATCAAGTCCTATGCAGAACAGTCGGGCTCTTGTCATTTCCTGCCTCTCTGCTGTTGTGTGTTCAAGTTGTAAATGTTGACGCTTGTCTCTGCAGGCTGATGCCAACCTCTATGGCTCCCACCCATTCTACATAGTGCAGGAGGAGGATGGCTTGGCACACGGAGCTTTCCTTCTTAACAGCAATGCCGTCGGTACCAAGCCATCTTTTCCAATAAGACACACACAGAATCCCAGTGTCATTTCTTTGTCCTTACTTTCCATACAGAATCTTTTTTTTTTTTTTTTTGCTGAACTTTTTTCCAAATGTCTCTGCAGAAGTGATGTTGCAGCCGACCCCCGCTCTCACCTGGGTGGCCATCGGTGGAATCCTGGACCTCTACGTTTTCTTGGGTCCTGACCCTCAAAGTGTGATACGACAGTACCTTCAGGTCATTGGTATGTCTTTTCAGTGTTGACATTCACTAACACGTCTTCAGGTAGCAAGAGAAATAGGTGTACATGTGTAGTTTTTAAGTTAGGAAAAACCTGTGAATCCTTGTCTGCTTAATATTTGAAGAAGCCCTAAGGCAACATGATAAAGAGTTGACGTGTTTGTGTTTCCCTTTTGCAATTTCTTTATCCCCAGGCTATCCTATGATGCCTCCCTATTGGTCGTTGGGTTTTCATCTGTGTCGCTGGGGTTACACAACCACTATTACTACCCGACATGTGGCACAACGCATGCACAATGCAACGTTTCCCATGGTAAGTTAAGTATTCACAAAGCTCTAAGTGATTATTACAGCTCACATTTTTCACTACATATGTGCATTCAACACACAAAATGTAGTTGTGACATCCTCAGATACTTTAAGTTATCATCAACATTGTGCAACACTGACATCAAATTGAGATCATTCTGTTTTTTGTCATCACCAGGATGTGCAGTGGAATGATCTGGACTATGCAAATAAGGACAGGGTATTCACCTTTGACCCTTGGCGATTTGGGGACCTCCCAGAGATGGTGGAGGAATTCCATCAAAGAGGCATGAAGTACATCCTTATCCTGGTGAGACATCTTTTACAGTCTTAACAGACCTCACGAACTGCTGATGCTGATTTAACTATCATTTAATAATTCAGCATTTAATTGAAAATGGAAAAACACATGCATCAGTTTTTTAAATAGTTTTTAGTATTGTGTAGTTCTCTAAATGAGCACAAGTAATCATTGACGATTACAATGTTCTTCCAGTAGATGGCAGCAAAACTCTCTTAACTTGTGACTGCGTCATGCCCTCCTGGTTTGTGTCTTAGGACCCGGGGATCAGCAGCACCAGCCCCCCTGGAACTTATTCGCCCTTTGATGATGGGCTGAAACGAGACGTCTTCATTAAAAATGCTACAGGACACATCCTGATAGGGAAGGTTAGACTTCCTTTTTTTCCGAGGGATGTATGCTTTTCTTTCTCATTGTGATGTGTGCGTGTGTGTGTGTGTGTGTGTGTGTGTGTGTGTGTGTGTGTGTGTCATGCACATATACATACTGTGTATCTAGGTTTGGCCGGGTCCGACTGCCTTCCCCGACTTCACCAACCCAGAGACCAGGCGCTGGTGGGAGGACTGCATCAGAGATTTTCATTCTAAAGTTCCTGTGGATGGTCTGTGGATTGTGAGTATTTAAACACAGAGCACAGGTTATGTAGCAACATATAATAATAATAATATGTCAGGTGTTTTTGTTCTGAGATTTGTACATGTCTGGTTGTACATTTGTGTGCACCTTAAAACCACATAAAGAATAACTTATCCTCTGATGTTTTTCTCCCATGCACCCCTCCAGGATATGAACGAACCAGCCAGCTTTGTGCAGGGCTCAGTGGAGGGCTGTCCTGACAGTGATCTGGAGAACCCGCCCTACACACCCAGTAAGTGTATTGGATCGCACGTTACTAGCATTCAAAGACAAACAAACATTATTGGTTTTACATTTGATGTCAGTTTATCTGTTAAAGTACGTACATGGAAATTGTACAACATACTAAGTAAGTGACTATAGATGCATAACTGATCTTTTCGTCGCTACGTATGTTGCATTCATTTGTAACCTTTGCGTGTCTCTGACTGTCATACAAACAGGGGTGGTTGGAGGCCAGTTGAACTCGGGAACTCTTTGTATGTCGGCTCAGCAGAAGCTGTCCACCCACTACAACCTGCACAATATGTACGGACTGACTGAAGCCTACGCCACGCACAGGTTAGACCATGCAGCGCTGCAGATGCAGTTTGCAGAGCTAGCTTTGCGGGAGCTTGGTTATTTCACTGTGAGTAGCAGAATAATCACATGTAGCAAAGTCAAATCTTTTGACATCAATTGACAGGAAAGCCATGCGTGTTTTTACCTTCTAGTTTAGTTTAATAGTGGATCAACAATGTGTCACAGGAACAAAACATCGTAGTGGTACTAAGTAGTGGTACAATGTATATTTCTCTTGCATGGTTGCCAGTGTACTATGTTAAGATGAAACTACATCATCTCTGAGAACATGCCAATTTAAATTTTGAATTGAGTATACTGGAAGCCAATGTGACACCACAGAGTATATGGACCGAGTTGTTCTTTGGCTTTTGTATTATTGTCATTGTATACTGCATTCTTCCCGGTGTTTGTTGCCATCTTCAGTGCTCTCATGAAGGTACGAGGGAAGAGACCCTTCGTCCTGTCTCGCTCCTCCTTCCCTGGCATCGGACGCTTCTCTGGAGTGTGGACAGGAGACGTCAGGAGCGACTGGGAGCAGCTTCGATACTCCATCCCTGGTGAGGAGATGTCATAACACTGTGTTTTTATT